AAAAAAAAAAAAAAAAGGACCAGGTTTGCTGGTCTGATAGAGCCTGACACCTGAGACTATGGCCCCTAGCTACCCTTCAGGCCTGGAATTGAACCCACTCCTGTGGCTTCCAGCTAAACCACATATGAGGTGAACATTTACATTAGGTAGATACAGTCCTCGGAGAGCTCAGTCATGGGAGAAGAGAAGGGCTGTGTATGCACAGGAGATAGCTCAGGGGCCAGGAGTACAGGGGAGGGAAGGACACAGGAAAGAGGTAGCCGTGGAGAGGAAGTGAGAGGGGAGCTGCTGTATTGTAGGAAATTGCAGTCAATGTCATGAGACAAAGTGTGTGAGCTGCTGTATGGAAAATGAATGTGCTCTGTAAACTTTCACCCAAATCACAATAAAAATTTAAATAAAAAAATAATAAGGGTAATGGGACTCCCCATGTGGCTCCTAGCATCTATTCTCTACTGGCTAAATTCTGAATGTCCCCTTACTCATGAAGAGATTTATTTACCTCCACCAAACCCACTGTCATCAAGTCAATTCTGACTCATAGCAATCCTAAAGGACAGAGTAGAACTCCTCATGGGGTTTCCAAGGCTGTAACTCTTTACAGAAGCCGACACCCTCATCTTTCTCCTGCAGAGTGGCTGATGGGTTCAAACTGTCAATCTTTTGGTTAGCAGCCAAATGCTTTACCCACAGCACCACCAGGGCTTCTTATTCATGGGACTAATAAGAAATGGGAAGGGATATGATCTGGAATACAAATGAAGGAAGCAATCTCGGTTAAGAGGCAGAAAAAAGAAAGGTGGCTCCAAATGTCATAAAGATGGCAACTGGTGATAAAAGCTGAAGAAGGCCCATCTGGTATTTCTTCCCTTTGCTATATAAGAGGAAGTGAGGTCATCTTCTGACTGAGAACGAAGAGGAAGGCAGAGGTTCAGAGATCTAAAACCAATGAAAAATACTGGAATGGACCACTTTTATGATGATAAAGCAAGTGCTGACTAGCAAAAAGAAAATAACTTAATTCTGCTTCTAGAGCCAGGAAAAAGTTTAACAATCAACCCCATCCTTGTTTGTCTGTTTTCCTTACTGTGAAAAGGAATAAAACTTAGACCAAGAGCAAGGAACTTGCATTCGGCATTTTACCTATTTCGAGCAGGAGACTTCCCAGCATCCTCTTGCACAGATACAAGTCTTGTGGACAGAGCAGTGTTTGAGGAGTCTGGGTGAATCAAACTATAAAGAAAATAAGAAAATAGATCATTTAGGACAGTAATAAGCAAATCTATATTTAAAGTTTTTAATGACATCAAGCTTAACTGGCATAACATAGTACACAAATACATTATTCAATATCCTACTTTGGTGAGCAGCAACCTGGGTCTTCAAAACTTGCAAGCAGCTATCTAAGATGCAGTTATTGGTCTCTCCATGTCCAGAGCAAAGAAGAGTGAAAAAAATCAGACACATGGAAAAGTAGTCCAAGGGGCTAGTAGACCATGGGAACCTTAGCCTACATGACCCTGAGATCAGAACTAGATAGAACCTGGCTACCACTGACAACAACTTAGAAAGGGATCAAAATTGAAGATCCCGGATAGAATGGGAGAAAAATGCGGAATAAAGCTCAAAATCATAAAAAAAAAATTGGATTACTGGTCTAATACAGATGGTGAAACCCCAAAATTATAGCTCCTAGTCACCCTTTTCAGAAGGAAGATGGGGCAATCTACTTCCATAGTGATACTGCCTCGGAAACCCAAGGAGGGGTCGCTATGAGTCGAGTCCGACTCAACGGCACATAACAACAACAACAACAACAAGTCACCCTTTGGACCTGGAATTGAACTCACTTCTGTGGTTTAACTTTTAGCCAAATAATAGACAGGTAGACAGGTCTATGAGCTGAACAACTATACCAGGGAGTTGCACTCCTTAGAACAATCAACCACAGGAGATCAGAAGGGCAGTATTTGCACAAGGAAAAAGCTTAGAAGGCAGGAATGAATAGGAAAAGACACAAGGAAAAGGTAACCACAGGGAGGAAGTGAGAAGAGAATTGCTACATTGTGGGGATTACAATCAATGTCACAAAACAAAATCTATACCAACTGTTGAATGGAGAATGAAATTGCTCTGTAAACTTTCACTCAGATCACAATAAAAAGTTCAAAAAAAGTTTTTAATGAGGTGTTTTAGTACTTTAAAGCAGATTATTTTTGTCCATAATAATATTTTTGTCTGTAATAATAAGAGTATGAGTCATATTTATTTTCTTCCTGTAATTAGCATGGAAACTGAATATGGTTTTTATCTTATGTACATCAAATATCAAATGATGATAAAGAAAGTTTACTAAGTATGTTGAATGCTGATAAAATAATAAAATTGGTTAGATGGGTAACTTATAGAACTCCTTCTCACATCGTATGTACAAATTTGGAGGAAGCTTAATGTCACAGATTTTAGGGGACAATCCTGAGTTCAAACATTTTATTAACAGCCCCATAACCCACTAGAATAGTGCTGTTGAGCCAAAAAACCTAGGCCCAGTACAGGCTCTGCGCTTCTCACTAGATGTGTGATCTTAGGTGCATCATTTATCTCTCTGAACCTCAGCATACACACCTGCCACAAAGAGAAAACAGAGCTGACCACAGACATAGGACAGCTAAAAGGGGATGAACACTCAACAGTTAGCACAGAACCAACGTTTAACTATTATTCTACCTTTGACACACACTCTACACCGTTTAGAAAGCTCCATCCTTAATCTACTTTATTAAATCACAGTTGCCAATTCTGGGCTCACAAAACAGGGCATCAGTGCAACTGAAAGGCATTACTAACATAAGCAGGAGCTGAACAATCCTTGTTTCATATTTATACAATTGATACAATATATGTAAAGAATAAAGACTCAGGATGCCACAAACACTCATGTAACCACCACACAATATAAGAAAAAGAACACACTATGGACTTTGAAGTCTCTGTATTCCCTGTCCAATCCTGTCCGCCCCCCTTCCTTGCCTCAATGACATCACTGTCCTAAACTCTATGTTCACTCACTATTCTTTTGCTTTTCTTTAAGTTTGGCCATATTTTGTACCCAGACAATGTATCATTTAGTTTTATCTATTTTTTTAACTGCATGCTTGATGAGGTGACTTTTCTTTTCTACTCTACGTTATATCCCTGAGATTCATCTATGGTGAATGCAGCTGCAGTTCATTCATTTTCACTTCTGTTTAAATTCACTGATTACACACACTAATATTCCCCCCTCCCTGAAAAGGTAACTGAAAAAATAACTTATCAGAAAGATGTTAGTGAAAGCTCTAAGTTCTTTGACAATGACAGATTTAGTATGATGCTTAAGAAAACACTTTCATTAAAGAAAACAATCAGAAATTGAAGAACTTATGACTGCAATTCCAACAGTTCCAGGTAACTGCCAAGAAAGAATCTGTAACATCCCCACTACCAGGAAGTATGACATACTAAGAAATAGAAAAAAATATAAAATGTTCCTTAAAAAGGAAAAAAAATCTAGTTTCTTTTACAAATCTTACCAATACAAATTACATGGGCATGCTCCTTAAAAGAGAAGGCTATATTAGGAACTATTCATTTCAATTATTTCTGTTATCTAAAGAATCACTTGACAAATATTTATTAAGATCTTGTATACATGCTGTGCATTATTTTTGGTGCCAGAGGAAGAACAATGAACAAGTAAGACAGAAAGACCCTGCTTCTCATGGCGTTTACATTCTAATTGCACAAAATCCTCACTACTCATAAACATCTCCTCTGAACCTTTCAGAGGCAAGCCAAGAAAACAGTGAATATGGAGGAAACACTCAAAGAATAAACATTAGCCAAAAGCACTCACAGTTCACATGATTATCAATATTTCTAAAAAACAAATAGAATTATGTTTAACCAAAGCTACCTTTGCCAGGCCAAATCATCCTCTAAAAAGATGTTGCGGCTGGCTTTTCTACTCCCAACTGGTGTTCGGGGTTCACTGGGATCAAGCATAGAGACAGAGCAGGCAGAATCTGAAAGAGCATTCAAGTCTTCCCCAATGGAATTACTGTCTGTGGAATGAGCATAACTTAAGGCTATTTTTCTACAGTATGTGCAAGCTCGGAGGTCCCCTAGGAGAGAAAAAAAATTAAGTTAGCATTAATATTTTACTCAACAGAGCATTTTCAGTTCTTGAGTTAACAGTTAATCTAACAGCAAGGAAATATCTTCAAGTAAAGACTATCAAAAGACTATCAAAAGAGACATTTTAAAGAAGTCATATAATTTATTTATTTTTGGAACTATCATTATGATAAATTCATCCAACTTGACAGTACCTAACACCAACAATTAATGAGTTAAGAAAATATAACCCCTGATACTTGAAAACTATGCTTAAAAGATTATTTTTCAAAGTTCTAAAAGTTAAATAAAAAATCTAACAAAGAACAGTTAGAACAGATTCAAATAGAAAAAGAATTTTCAGTCAAATAAATAAACCCACACAAGGCAAACATATTTTCCCTAGGCTCCAAGGAAGAAGGAAAATGCTATTATGGTCTCTATCATGAAGCCCTGTAGGGCTGCTGAGTCAGAAAGAACTCAACAGCAATGGGTTTTGTTTGTTTTGCTGTTTTTCATTATGAAGCCATGAAAAGTGGCCTATACAAGGAGGAGTATTTTTTAAAAACAAGCTAGTAGAATCTGGCTTACAAACAGTGTGAAAGATGAAGCTAAAGATTGGAAAGACCACAGTGAAAGGACAGAAATGAAATGTTCTTGGGAGGACACTTAACACTAAAAATGTCAGCAAGACTCAGATACTGGTTGAAAACAACCTTCAAATTACCCTCAATTTCCCTTTGTTTTCAGTTTCTCAAAAAGAACGAACTATATGAAATATGGCAAAATGTTAACCTATGTAAAAATAAAGTACACCCAAATTAAAAAAAAAAGTTTAACACTTTAAAATGTTCAACTTTTTTAAAGATGTAGCCCTGCCAAATGTTTTCTTTTCTACTTTGTATTCTGTAGTATTTTTGCAGTGATTTTGTAACATTTTAACATATTGAAAAAGGAGTTAAAATCATTAAACTTTACTAGTAACATGTTATTTAATAATTCTAACTTAAAACATTTACTCCCATTAACGTTAGAAAACTAAAATGACATGGAACAAAAAACTTCTGAAAGTCAACTAAACTATGCTTCTACCAAAATTACTACCAAGTATAACAACAAATGGCTTTTTGTTATTTCACTGTAAGATTACCATATAGTACTCAGTTTTCACTGTAAGATTATTATACAGTACTCAGTTTGCATGCATTTTAAGCAAAATTAAATGTCACTTGCTTCATTACTCATTTTTGATGCCAAAATTAAACTCATTGCAAGTTAAGTGTTAAGACAGAAGCCTCCCCCAAGTGCTATGAGATCACAAGGAACAGAACCTCACCCAGTTTAGGGTAATATTTTACAAAAAAGAGTTGCCAGCCATGGAGAAAGGAGACAAATGGAGGAGCTAGGGGAAGGTGAAAAGTCCTAGGTGGAAAGACCATCAAGACAAAATCTTGGATTTAAAAAAAGCAGAGAACATGACCCAGCGACAAATTATGAACACTCTTAACAGGTAAAGGCAAAGGGGCAGTGTGGCAAAAGAAAAAGATGAGCAGGAACTACAAAAGGATGAGCCTTACTGACCATATTAACAAGACAGGATTTCATCCTAAGGTACTGAGAGCTCTGAAAGTGTATCAGACAGGGAAATAACCTGACATGATCAAATCAGCATTTTACCAAGGGTACTGAATAGAGTATGAAAAATGAATTAGAGGCAGGAAAAAAATGAAAGTAAAAAAAGTCTTTTGAAAGCTGTTGCCATATCCATGTAAAAGATAATGAGAATCTGAACTCTGTTTGTAGCAGGTCAGCTGAAAAAAGTGAATAGGGCCACAGTAGAAAAAATGATACAAGAGATGGTAACAATGTTCTCTCTTGGATAACATCTACCCACCTTTCACCTTTCACTCTCCAGTCACTGTATAAATCTACACACCACTATTCAGTTCCTTTCATCTCAATAAATAACTTAAATTGTCTACGTTTTAAAGTTTTATTATGCTCCTGATTGAAGAACATGAGTAAGCAGTAATTTATAAAAGAAGTGTCATATAACTCAAGGAAGATCATACTTTGTAAAATGAAAGCTCTCATGGTAATACAGATTAATAACCTACTCTTATTTTTTCTAATGAATTTTACTGCTCCTGTAGTTTCTTGCTAGCATGTTGATACAGTCTTTTACTGTATTTATTTAAGTACATTCCCATTTACTTTACAATTTGACTGTAAAGGTGCACCTCACTCACCTTTGTTGTCCCCCATATCTTACATATAAAGCCCAAAGTAAAAACTGGCCAAGTATTGGTCCCATATTATCACTATTTTATAGTAATGACCTTTAAAAATTGTAACACTCAAGAGAATGCACTTACCTGTGTAGCCCATAAATTTTCCAGGGATTTCTTGATTACAGCAACGACTGCAGAAAATCTGCCCACATAGTCGGCAATGGTGTCTACGCCTGAAGGTCGTAAACTTCTCACTACAGTCATAGCACTCTTTACATTGGCTATCTGGCATCCAGTATTGCTTCAGGTCACTATCCTGAAACAACAAAAACGTGTAAGGCTTCTCAAAAATACTGATTATTTAGACCCAATGACAAATGTAATCCTATTCAAAATTCCAGAAGATCTCTTTTGCAGAAATTGTGAAGCTAATTCTAAAATTCATATGGAAATGCAAAGTGCCAAAATGGCCAAGACAATTGAGAAGAACACAACTGTACCAGCCATCAGGATTATTCTAATGCGATGGAAATTTCAAATAGGGTACGAATACAAGGACAGAAAAAAAAACAGAGCTATGAAACAGAAAAGAGTGTCTGAGAATATGCTCACCCATATATGGATCTATGACAAGATTTATAATGCAGTCAGAGAAAGATAGTTTTTAATTTAAAAAAATGGTACTCGGTACTACTGATAAAATTAAAGCTGGACCCCTATACTTCACATAAATAATAAAGGTTCTTAAAGAAAACACGGAAGAATATCTACTGACCCTGGGCTAGATCTTAAACAGGACACAAAAAGTACTAACTATAAAATGGGAAAACTGAAAAATTAGACTACATTAAATAACACGTATAAAAAACAGTTAACTATTTCTTACTATTTGTTAGTCTCATTAACTATCTTTTTAGACTTATGAACAATCTGTGATGTACAGATGACATAATATTGCTTGCTGAAAAAGAAGCACTTACTGATGAAGATCAAAGCAACAGCTCTCAATGGGGATTACACCTCAACATAAAGAAACAAAAATCACAACCAGACCAATAAGCAACATCTTGATAAATGCACAGAAGATTTAAGTTGTCAAAGATTCCATTTTACTGGGATCCAACACACGTGGAAGTGTCAGTCAAGAGATCAAACAATGTTGCACTTGGCAAATCTGCTGTGAAAGACCTTTTTAAAGTGTTAAAGAGCAAAGATGTCACTTTGAAGACTTAGGTGCACCTGACCCAAGCCATGTTATCAATCACCTCATATGCATGTGAAAGGTGGACAATGAATAAGGAAGAACAAAGAATTGATGCATTTGAATTAAAGTGTTGATGAAGAATAATACCGAACATATCATGGTCTGCCAAAAGAACAACGTGTCTTAGAAGAAGTATAACCAGAATTCTCCTTAGAAGCAAGAATGGCCAGACTTCATCTCTTATAGTTCGGTCATGTTATCAAGAGGTACCAGTCCCTAGAGAAGGGTACCATGCTTGGTAAAGCAAATGGTCAGGGAAAAAGAGGACGGCCCTTAATGAGATGGACTGATGCGGTGGCTACAACAATGGGCTGAAGCATGGCAACAACTCTGAGGATGGCTCAGGACCAAGCAGCGGTTTGGTTTTGTTGTACTTAGGGTATCTGTGAGTCAGGTCCACCGCAACGGCACCTAACAACAACAACATAAAAAACAGGGTGTTCTTAGCTGGTAGTAGTACTAACTAAACTTCCTCTCAAGTGACATTATGCCATTTTCAGTAGGCATGACATTACCCCATAAATGGTTAATAAGTAATCCTATAAAGCTTCTAGGTAATACCTGACTTTTCCCCTCCATGATTTCCTTGAGGCGTTTTAATACTGTACTGAGGCTTCGAAGTTGAACAGCTGTACGAGGGTCATGACCTCCAAAGTTAGGTTCTGCTTTCCTTCTTGCATCTGAGTTGGGTTTAAAAAAGAAAAAACAACCTTGTTAAAAATCCCTATTATCTATGCACAATAAGGTATATACGTGATTCAAATTGCCTCCTGTTGTCAGTATATGCTTATTTTCTCCCAGCCAGTAATACAGATTTAGAGTTTACAGTCTTTACAAAATTAAAAGAATGTTGGAAAGTGTTTCTTATTACCATGTAAAAGACAAGAATGAAAAGGGTCCTTATATTTAAGACAAACACTGATGGTCTTACTGTTCCTTTGACAGGAATATTGCTTAAATGGCCCAAAATTCATTACTGATTTCTTAGGCCCTTTGGGCCCAACCCATAATAAATATCCACTAGAAATTTAGCAGAAGAAAGTAATCCCAGAGAATTAACCTACCTCACTCTCCAAAGTCAAACAGGTAAGCAGTCAGGTCAAACAAGTTCAGTTAAGTCTGAAGATGATGTATCCAAAAGTCTCAAGATATCAGAAAAGAATTTAATAGCCCAGCCCCAGAGACTCTGATAGACTTCAGAACACCCAGGTGGTAAACTCTGACAGAGACCTTCTCTGGCCAATGTCCGAGCAGGTTAAAACTGCCAGAGGACTGTGAGAACTCTAATCCCACCCTCCTACCCCTTCTCTCCACCACCCCTACAGGTCCAAACAAAAAGGATCACTTACATTTGAGATATCAACACTGAAGCCAGATCTGTTAATAAAACAAGGCCAAGTTCCAGCTGTGTGGCCACAATGGGATCTGCCCAACAAAGCTGCCACTTAGTATTTCCTTATTTTAGAGCAAGATCACAAATGACGTTTCTACATACTCCTGGCTCTGGCCAATTGCAAAGCCTAAGCATGAAGTGGAGGTAGTTTCATAAAATAAAAAATATGACTATCCTTAACAAGTTAAGTCCATTAACCTAGTACCTATGGCAAGGCAAGATGGAAAATACTCTACTGTGAATATTTCTCAAACTTATTTGCTAGTTTTGTTTTTGGTGTTCTGTTTTCATTGGATGGGAAAAGATTACAATGGGATGAGAGGTCAGTATCCAAACCGAAATTTATCGTTTCCCAAGGTAATTACTAAAAAAATTATTTAAGTCTGCTAACCAGAAGGCTGGAGGTTCAAACCCAACAGTCACTCCTCCGAAGGAATACTGGGCAATCTACTTTGGTACAGATACTGCCTTAGAAACCCAACGAGGGATTATGCGTTGGGATGGACTCAAAGGCAGTGAGGTTGTTTTTTTTTTAAGTCTGTATCTATTTTTTTTCATTTGGAAAACTTTCTAAAAGTAGTTCTATCTTAATTTCAGTATATACTTCTGGTATATTATTAGAATACAAAAGTACAAGTATTAGCATGACCAAATATTTCTTGAGTTTCAGAATATAAAGCAACTATTCATGACTTATGAGTTGAAAAAGGAGACTGGGAAGCTGTTAGATCCTGAAGGCTTTGCTCCTATACAGGAGAGGCAATTACTTGTGAAGTCCCTTGCATTTAGCCACTCAGAAGTAAGAGAAAGTACCAGCAGCAGCACCCACTGGAGAAGGAAGAACGAGCCATTCTCAATCTGGAACCAACAGAACCACAGATCTTGGATGGAAATCCGGCCTAGTCCTTTGCCCTTAGGCAAATAAATTCAGTTGCTTCTCTTGTAAAAGAGGTATTAAAATATTAAATGACTTTCCTAAGATCACAGAGCTAGAAAATTGTATAATTACAGCTTTTCAGAAAGGAAAGGAATTTGATCGATCAAACAGCCCCAGGCTTCTGAAGCTCCAAAAGCTAGGGCAGCATAGGAGAGTCAAGAAGGCTGTGGATAAAACACGGGAGGAATAGGAGGGACTAGAGTAGAGGGCTTTACAAGCTCTACCTAGAGACATTTACATTCAAGTTTTGTAAAAACCTCAAAGGCAAGGTTTCTTCCCTAGAAAACCTGCAGCGGTAATACAGCCAGCTCCTCTCCACCCCTTAAGGAGAAACTCTTCTGTTGCTTTCTCCTCCTCCCTCTGCCCCACCAAAAGATGGAGGCTCTGCGCCAACTCCGAGCTAGTAATAAAATATCCCTCTGCCAATCACCATCAGCTGCGCCCATTTTTCACTCAAGGACCTCATGGGGAATTGTAGCCAGACCAGGCAGAATCACTTGTTCAGGGACACGTGGGTGACTCCCAATTCTTCACTCCTTTCCTGTATTATGCCACCTCCCACTTGCTTTCTTCTATCACCTTTACTTGGGCAAAGTACTCTCTTGAGTTTAATAACCTAATGGAAATACAACATAAACAACCTCGCTTTCCCTAATCTCTCAATTCAGGCACTGGTCTCCAGCCCATACTCAACAGCAGCACATGAAAATGAAGGAGATGATGACCATGTAGTAGAACAGATGGAGAACAGGCAAGAGGAGCTCGGCTCATCCAGCGACACTCGCAGTTTGCACCCCAACAAGGACAGTGGCCAAGAGCAAGTGGCAGCCCACTAATGAAGTTGAGAGTTCTGCAGTCAGAGGCATGCATATCACATTTCACTAGCCATCCCAAGAATAGGTGCAGAAGTCATTCACAAAGTTAAAACTAACCTGCATTCTCCTGGGGATGTTGCAAACTGTTCTCTGCTGAAACCCAAGCAAGTAATTAATCAAAAACAGTCAAGAGATCTCTGCCTTGCCTAAATTAAACTTTATGAAAACATTTAAGAATTTTTTCTAGGTGTCAATAAATTCTTTCACTATCAGATAACAGTTTTTATTAACTCTGAATAGTACCTGACTATTCAAAATAGTGCAAAAGTTAAGTTGATAACAGCCTAGAAAACACAATGACCATAGAAAAATCTACTGTACAGAGACAAATTAGATAAGAACACTGTTTTACCTAAAACAGTTGAAGACCGCCGATGGAGTTCTTCATTAAGCTGTTTTTTATAAGGTATAGGTGATCTCACAGATTGTGCCCTTGTGGGGAGCTGAGGGCTGGTCCAACCTCCACTCAGAGACTGCTGCTCTCCCTGGCCCCCTTCCGCTCTCTCTGAAGCAAAGGAAAGCCTGGTATTATTTGAAAAACTGAGACTCACAGTTCAGCAAAGAGAAAGAAGTAAATGACATTTTTCAAGAAAGAAAGTATCCGTGTATTACATGTATAATTAAATATTAGTTTGTTTTCTTAAAAAGGAAGAGATTTAAAGGTTACAAAATTACAACCCAATTCACATCAATGGTATTTGTGAACTTCTATTTTCCTTTTCATTAGGAATTTTTTAATCATAAAGGAAATACAATGCAAGCTTCACTTGAAGGTAGGAAATTTCTGTCTGTTTTATTCATGGGATAGACCTCCTGCATAGTAAGTACTCAAGAAACATTTCGGAATTAAAAAAAATTAAAAAAACAGGATCGGTTTTAAGATACTAAATGTAATACAGTATCCTGAATGGAATCCTGGAACACAAAAGTGCTATCAGGTAAAAGCTACGGAAGTTTAAATAAAAGATGTACTTTACCAAAAAAATACACACACACACACACACACACACATATATATACATACACACACATATATATAATCTATACAAGACTAAATGGTCCACAATTACCTTAAAGCAAATATGAGAAGGTAAAAGGGGCAGGGACAAGGGAAGCCAGAATAAGGGACCAGAATAGAAATCAAGAGAATGTTGACACATTGTAGAAAATGTAACAAATGTCACTAAACAATATATACAAAAGTTATGAAATGTGAACCTAATTTGCTGTGTAAACTTTCACCAAAAATAAATTAAAATATTTTTTTAAAAAAACATGTACTGAATAATGTTGTTGTTGACTGTCATCACATCAGCCCTCAACTCATATTATGCACAATGGAAGGAAATGCTGCCCATTCCCATGATCAGTTGGGAATCTGACCCACTGTGATCCATAGGGTTTCACGGGCTAATTTTCAGAAGTAGTAGCCTCTCTTCCTAGTCTATCTGAATCTGGAAGCCCCCTGAAACCTGTTCAGAATCACTGCAACACACCAACCACCATTGTTGGGTGGTAGCTGCACGTGATGTACACTGGCTGGGAATGGAACCTCGGTGAGCTGCATGGAAGATGAAATATTGGTTCATGAATAATAGCAAATGTACCATATCAAGATGTTAAAAATAGAGGAAACTAGATGGGAGGGTATATTGGAATTCTCTATACTGTCTTCTCAATTTTTCTGTGCACCCAGTACTGTTCTAAAACTTAAATTTTTAAAGAAATAAGTCTTAAAAGTAGACTAATAGGAGTTTCTATAAGTTAAACATTACTACTAATAAAATTCAGGTACCAAACTAACCACTCACTGCCACAGAGTCAAACCCAACTCACAGCAACCCTTCCTTGGGTTTCCAAGACAGTATCACTACGGAAGTAGATTGCCCAAACTTCCTTCTGAGGAGTGGCTGGTGGGTTTGAACCACTATTAAAATTCCTTTTAAGTAAACTATTAAATCCCCAAATTCATTACAACAGGACTACTTTCTAATACATTTCAAATAATACTGTTGTTGTTGTTGCTATGTGCTGTCGAGTCAGCCCCAACTCATAGCGACCCTTCCTTGGGTTTCTGAGGCAGTATCACTACAGAAGTAGATTGCCCCATCTTCCTTCTGAGGAGTGGCTGGTGGGTTTGAACCGTCATCCTTCAAATGTAAAGCAAAAGATGTGAGTCATGTTTATTATTCTTCTATTAAGTAAAATACTACTATTTAAGAAGAGCTCTTTTTAAAAGTTATCTTTTCATTTGATGTAATTACATGCATACTTTACTCTACTGGGTTTTTATCAACAGACCTGCTGGCAACTTCCAACTTTTGAAAAATATTAACCTTTCCTCCCACGTGCTATTATTTTTAGGTTCATTGCTTCAATTAGTATCTTTTGGTTATTAACTCCTAAGAGAACAAAAGTCCATTCTGTAAACTTAAGGAAGTTGAAGCCTCTCAAGAACTTGAAAAAAAAAAAAAAAAAGTTGCTATTTTTCTCTTCAAAAAGGAACCTCCTTAACATTTAGTTTTCAAATCAGACCTTCAGTGACCATTAATTAAGAAAATTACAGTAAACATCTTACCTTCCCCCCCCCCCGTTATGCAGTAAACCCAGGTGATCTATGATTTCAGCTATCACCTTGTTGATACTTCACTTTCTTGTAAAGACACAGCATGAAAAGTAAGAGAATTTCAGAGAATCAAAAATGTAGCTTCTCTGATTTTTAAAAATAAGTCTTACCTTTGTTAAATCGAAAAAGATTTACAAAAGAACTATATGCAGATTTAAAAGGAGGGTCATCCTGATCAGGAGTCAAAGGCTTAAAGTGTGTGAGGTGAGAAGGGCTAGTAGGAGACCGAGGCAAATCATGAGCAGAGGCCAGTGTTGGGGAAGGCTTGTCATCTGTGGCCATTTCATGAGTCTAAAACACAAAGGAGACAAGAAAAATATGTACGTTCCTCAGGAAGCCCAAAATTCATACACCAAATACCTAAATAACTAGAAAATCGGATTCTGTGAAAATCTAGACCTATGAAAACTAAGCAGTAAATGAATCTAATTTAGCACATACTGCAAATTAAGACTTGAAAACATTACTGTCCAATCATAAGGAAGTCTCAATCAACTAAAACTATGATCATATGTCACCAGAGTAAGGTAGAGATTTAGAGCCCTCATAGTCCAGTAGTTTGGCTGCTAATCTAAAGGTCAGCCTTCAAACCTACAGCCACTCTGTAGGAGAAGATGTGGCAGTCTGCTTCTCCAGAGATTTACAGCCTCGGAAACCCATCGGGCACTTCTATCCTGTCCTATAGGGTTGCTATGAGTTGGACTGACTCGAGGGCAGTGGGTTTGGTTTGATTTTTGGTTTAAGGTGGAATTTAAAATAGTAGTATTCAAATAATAGAAAATACCAAAATGAAATTAAGTATAAAAATTTGGAGGTAAGGCATAAATGTGAGCAAAGAGGGAAAAAAGCATTTCCAAATCACTTAAAACTTTAAGCTTTTGGGGAAAATAAAAAAAGAATAAACAGCATTTTTAAGTTATGGGGAAACTGATTTTATACAAACATAGAGAAATTCCTCAAGCCTTTATTTTACTTATTTTCATTTAAAAAATAATAATAATACCAAAAATAAATATTCCTCAGACGGGAAATCATCTTCCCTTAATAAAATTTCTCTGTGACCTCAACAATTCTCAAGCCACATCTCATGACCCGTGGCAAGTATCCACATCAGCGTGCGTCTTCCCCTTCATCTTTTCTCCTGAGCCATGAACCTGGCTTTAAGCCTTAACACATACAGACACTACGATGAAAATCTCTTTAAATGGCTTTTTTTAAATTACCAAAAATCATAATTCAACTAAAGCAGTAAAACTAACCACACCAACAGATGGAGGTTACAGAAAAGCCTGAAGTTTATTTTTTGCCCTGGTAGCGTAACAGTTAAGCACTCAGCTGTGGGAGAAAGACCCAGTGATCTGCTCCTGTGAAGACTGCGGCCAAGAAAACCGTATCGGGCCCCAGTTCTACCCTGTCACCCGGGGCTGCTATGAATCAGAAATCCACTGCATGGCATCTAACAGCAATGATTGATACTTCATGCAACACCAAACAACAAAACAACCCACTGCGGTTGACTCGGACCCGACTCATAGCGACCCCTCCTTGGGTTTCCGAGGTGGTATCACTACAGAAGCAGATTGCCCAACCTTCCTTCTGAGGAGTGGCTGGTGGGTTTAAACCGCCAACCTTCTGGTTAGCAGTCAAATGCCTTAGGCACTACGCCACCAGAGCTCCCATGCAACACCAGAGATTCTTGATAAAATAGAAGAACTACAAACTATGTATAACTCTTATCTTTAAATGCTATCATTTATAATCTAACTCTGGTGGTGTAGTGCCTAAGGCACTTGACTGCTAACCAGAAGTCTGGCAGTTCAAACCCACCAGCCACTCCTTGGAAGAGCGATTAGGCAATCTACTTCTGTAGAGATACTGCCTCGAAAACCCAAGGAGGGGTTGCTAGGAGTCGAATTAACTCAATGGCAGTGAGTTTGGTTTGGGTTTGGTTATCTACTTTTTATTATATTTCGAGTGAAACTTTACAGAGCAAATTAGTTTTCCATTCATCAATTTATACACATTCATTTCGTGACTGGTTGCAATCCCCTCAACCTAACAGCACTCTTATTACTTCTGTCCTGGGTTCCCCATTTCCAGTCACCCTTCTTTCCTGCCCCTTCCTGTCTTCTGAGCTTTATTTCTGGGCAAATGCTGCCCTTTTGGTCTCATGTGACTGATTGTACTGAGGAGTACATTCCTCTCTCGTGTTACTATTCACTTTACGGGCCTGTCTCTCATTTGGCTAAAAGTCGATCCCCAGGGGTGGGTTCAGTTCCAGGCTCAAAGGGTGGCTAAGGGCCATCGTCTCAGAGATTCTACCAGTCTCTATCATACCAGCAAGTCTGGTCCTCTGTATGATTCTGAATTTTGTTCTATGTTTGGGTTGTTTTTTTTTTTCCTCCCTCTCTGTCCCGGACCTTCTATCGTGATGCTGATCAGAGTGGTAGATAGTGGTAACTGGGCACCATCTAGTTCTTCTGGTCTCAAGATAGTGGTGGCTGTGATTTGCATGGTCTATTAGTCCTCTGGACTAATTGTTTCCTTGACTCTTTGATTTTCTTCACTCTTCTTTGTTCCCGATGAGGAAAGACCAATAGTTGCATTTTAAATGGCTGCTCACAAGCTTTCACGACCCTAGTCACTACTCACCAAACTAGGATGCAGAACTTTATCTTTGTAGACTATTGACTTACATGTTCCCCAAGACTATGGTCCTAAGTCCCCAACCCCAGTGACTCATTCCCTTGAGGTGTCTGGTTACAGCTAAGAAGCTTTCATAACTTTGCTCCCTATATGTTCTACAATATCAGTGGATATATCTTCCTCACATACAAACAGGTATGTAGAAATATCCTCTGCTGAGCCCATATATACTCATGGATGGCTTCCCATTTACCCTCCCACATCTGTCAGCTTGCATGTCTACTAAGAATATGAAACACTTCACAAATTTGCATGTCATCCCTGCACAGGAGCCATGCTAACCTTCTCTGTACTGTTCTAATTTTAGTATATGTGTTGCCAAAGCCAGTACCTAATCTATACTTTACAAAGAAGACATTATACTCTTGCAAAAAGTTTTTCACTTTCAAAATCCTATCTACCATCCTCGGAAGGAAGGTTGGGCAATCCTACTTCCGTAGTGATACTGCCTCGGAAACCCAAGGAGGGGTCGCTATGAGTCGGGGCCGACTCGACGGCA